ACTATGTTTTGCTAAGATGTCCTTCTTCTTTGAAGAAGGTGATTTGCTGAAAGGTTCGTGTATCAGATCAAAAATATAGAATTAGTGGCTCTGTCCTCACATTCCTTTCAATTAAAATACCTATAAAACTAGGGTGAATGGTTGCTTTATATTTAGGGAAGATTATGTATGTTAAGGCTACTGGATCTATAAGAGTTTAGTTTTGCAGCCCAAGACCCTTGTTCTGAATCCCACTGTTTCCTTCAGTCAAAATATCTATTTTAAGTTTTGATTTCACCGAGACTAAAAATAGAATAACAAACTTGGAAGGGATCTTGAAGATCTTCTAGTCCAACCCACTGCTCAAGCAGGAATTCCTTTACCATTTCAGACAAATGGTTGTCCAATCTCTTCTTTAAAAACCTCCAATGTTGGAGCACTCACCATTTGTGGAGGCAAGTTGTTCCACTGATTAATTGTTCTCACTGTCTGGGAATTTCTCCTTAGTTCTAGGTTGGTTCTCTCCTTGATTAATTTCCATTGATTGTTTCTTGTCTTGCCTTCAGATTCTTTGGAAAATAGGTTTATCCCCTCTTCTTTGTGACAGCCCAGACTATATTTCAATTTTTGTTTCTGTTAAGCTATAGCCAGCATAAAAGTTTTGGAATGAAAATCTTTGCTTTGAGTTTGAATTTTGCATAAACTTTGAAGTTTCATTTTGCATAAACTTGTACTTGTTTATTCTTTGTGCACAGGTATTGTACATGACTATTCCCATTGTGATTTTTTTTTTGAAAACATGGTAATGTGTATAATATTATTACATCTACTTTTGTTCCTTTGGCAGTGTGGAGTTTAGCTTTAGCCAGGGTGGTACTTTCAGTACCTGGTTTATTTCCAGATGTACTTGTGAACATAATTGGGACATCTTAAAATTCTCGAGGAAAGATCCAGTATCTATTGCTTCTATATTACTTGTTTTGGGAGACAGCCAAAATGTTGTTCAGTTATATAGTAAACAGCAAAGAGATGGACCAGATGCCTCCAATGACCATTCCAATTCTATGATTTCAAAAAATAAATATAATAATTATATAGAAAATACCTACAGGAAATATCCAACTCCTGGTTTCTAAAAATATTAGTTCTCTGGCTGAGGCTAAGTATTTTGGCATGACAAAATCTGGCATCCCCGCACAGTGTCACAATAAATATTTAACCAAGTACATTGGGATGTAGGCTGAATGCCTGCATTTCAAATAACATTGCTGGTCCCAAAGTGACCAAAAGAATTTCCTGAAAACACTGACTTCTTGCCATTTATCAAACTGTCCAGGCTACACATGTTTTATTTGATATTCAGGGTAGGTAATAAAAGAGAAAATCAGTTAATGATCCTGTTTTTATTGTGCCTGTGTGTGTCTGTGTGTCTGTATGGAATTCTGGTGTGAAATCCATGCACTGTCCAAGGAATGGTTTGCCACAGTTGTTTTCCAGGCGTACGTGATTAATTTTGAAGTTGAGTGAATGCTAGATAGAGCATATGACTTGGGAAGTACGGAAATAGGACAAGGTTTGTGGGAGTTTTGTTATAGCAGGGAGAATAAGAACTTGTAATAAGCAGTGGGAGAAACAATGAGAATCTGGAGGCAGATCACTCATGGAGCAGATAAAACTTATTTTTGAGACTGATTTCATTTGCTAGCTCTCAGTAAATGTATTTGGTCACTAGGTCCTCAACTGTCCTACTCTCCAGCTGTTGCTGCTAAACACCAGATCAATTTATAGAAGACTGTTTTCATCTGTCTTACTAGTTGCATGGCACTGCCTCTGAAAGGGCACTTGGAAACATTGGGGTATTCTTTCTTGGAAAACACTGAAAGGGGGCTGGGAAACACTGACTGTTTCCTTCTTAAATACTCAACCTGAGTTTCAAGTGTGGTACTAGCCATTTCCCTAGGATGCTGGTGTGTGATATTTGTTACCTGAGAGGCTTTAACAGCTTTCAGAGTTACCATGCAGATTGTAAGACAATTTCTGGGTTTGAAGGGGCAGATAGGCTGGTGGCTATTAGACCCATCTGTATGGCAGCCTATTTTATGTCAAGGGGTTGGTTGGTAATGGATTGTTAATTCTGGAGGAGTTTGGCTTTGAGTGAGATCCTGTTTAGGAGTTCATGACCACCACTGCAACTATGAACCTTTCCCAGATCATTAGGGACCTGATCAGTGCTAGGTTGCTCCCAGTTCGCCCCAGGTCGGGCAAACCGGTAGCGGCAGCAGTGGGAGGCTCCACCTACCTGCCTGGATACTTCTGCGCATGCTCAGAAGTGGCATGCGTGCATTAGTGCATGCCCGCCCACGAGCAAACTGGTAGCAATGGGTTTTGAAACCCACTCCTGGACCTGATTCACATATGCTACATTTAGTTTATATCCTGAGACAACTGCAATGCAATTTAAAGATGGAGGACATCAACAACAGTTCTTTGGTCATTGTCAGGTAACTCTCTATTTGCCTTTTGACTTGCTCCTTGATCAAAAAAGGAGTGAGCTTTAGGTGGTTAATACTATAAGGAATATTGGTGAATATTCCTTATGGTATTAAGGAGCAAAAACACAGACTAGATTCGCTAGAGAAGGCAGAATTATTTTATGACCAATACTTGGGATTACAAGAGGAGGAAAGACTGAGAGAGAAAAAAGAGATTAGATATCAGGTTGGTTTTGCTTTCATTGTGTTTGTTGTTTGTTGATTGCTCAGCTATTTTTTTTTTTTTTTACAATTTTGATTGTTGTTTCAACTTCTTATGTTTTTTATGTCTCTGCCTCTCAGAGTCTTTTTATTTATTTATTTATTGGTTCAATTTATATTCAAGGGGGCAGCACATAAATGAGAGAGTATCAAGTTCCAAGTCTACAGCTCTGGAAATTCTAGGCAGAGAATGCTGTACAAAGAATAACCAAGACTGTCCCACTATGCTTCTGACAATGAAGCAAAATCAGTTATTGAGGAATATGGCTTCTATCTCATCCTTTCTTGATTATGCAATGATGAACCTCCATAAGATAAAGCATCTCATTGAAACAAATCCTAGTCAGTCTGCTTTGACCTAATATTGACAAAGCTCATGGCAACATTGCCTCACAAATTACATCTATGGTTCTACCTATGGGCTCTGAGACAAGGATTTGTAACCCAGATTTGTAAAGTGTGGTGCTGAGAAGGTAGGCTATCTTCCCTAACAATGTGCTTCTTTAGGGAGATGCTAGCAGAACAGTGGGTTATTTTAGGAAAGTCTTCAGGCTTAATTTTTCCTGTTTGCAAAGTCCAGCTGTTTAACTTGTGGATTTGACTTTGTTTATTGTTTGTCCCTTTTTGAAGCTGCTATTTTAAATCTTTTCATTTTAAAAAGTTTATTTTATTTTCTTTGTATCTATCATCCCTGGACCAATGTATTCATAGAGGGATGTCTTCAGGAAGATTTAATAATAATAATAATAATAATAATAATAATAATAATAATAATAATATTTATTTCTATACCGCCCTTCTCCCGAAGGACTCAGGGTGGTGTACAGCCAATTTAAAAACACAGGACACAACAATGATTAAAAATTAAAATAATTAAATAGATTTGGCCGATTTAAAACCCCAAAAATTTAAAATACCCCAATTTAAAATTATTATGTTGATAGCCCTGCCTGGCGGAACAACAGGGTCTTCAGTGCGCAACGAAACACCCGGAGGTCGGAGATCTTACGTATTTCCGGGGGCAGTTCATTCCACAGGGCTGGGGCTCCCACAGAGAAGGCCCTCCCCCTGGGTGTCGCCAGCTGACATAACTTGGCCGATGGCACCCTGAGGAGACCCTCTCTGTGGGAGCGGACTGGTCGGTGGGAGGCTATTGGTGGCAGAAGACAGTCTCGAAGGTACCCGGGTCTTATGCCATGGAGCGCTTTGAAAGTGGTAACAACACATTTAAAAACTTAATATGCCAGCTACAACCACACAACTGAAGACTTTCCCCTTTTTATGGACATCAATTGTTCTGGTATTCTCATGATTGCCCACCATCATCCTGATATCTATAGCTATGCAAAAAGAGAAGAGACTATCTTTAAAACAATTGGCTTCCAAGTCCAACAGAAGAAATAAGCCAAACCATGAGTAGCTAGCTAGCTAGAAGATAGAATAACTTTATTGTCACTTTGAATCGGCATACATTAAAATGAAATTTTGTTGCATACAGCTCTCAAAGGGTCACCACCTCCAATATACACTATATAAACATGACAAAATAAATAAATAAAAACAAAATTATGCATATATTATATGACACAGAAAAACAACACGGTCTAGTTCGGATGTATACATGTACGTGGCAAGAAAAGCGAATTTTGCAAGTTCACCAGACAGATGGCATAGGGAACAAAGCTGTTACAGAATCTGGTAGTCCTGCTAGTAATAGCTCTTTTTTTTTTTCTTGGCTGAAGGCAAACCTCTACAGTGAGAGTACAAGCCTCCAATTTTGTTTGTTTTGGGGAGGTGTCCGCCACCTGTTCTGCTAGAGCTTTACAGGATACACATTTTTGAAATTGAAAAGTGAGGCTGCATTTGAGAAGCATTTTGAAATGGCTGCTGATACAGAAAACAGCAATTCAGTTATCTGACCAGAGCTGGCAATATACCCTTAATTTCTTTATCAGCTGAGGCTTGGCTCAAAGGATTTAGGATTTGTATTTAAAACAGGGGCAGATAACCTGAGCCTCTCAAACATCCCTGGGTATCATTTCTGCCTCCTCCATGCATTTAGGTCTAATCTGTAGCAAGAACAGTTTGTTGTTTACTCAGTTGGGCTGTAAGAAATCCTTTTATCCTGGGTGCAGAAGATAGTCAGATCTACGAGTGTGATCCTAGTTTGTCTGGAAAGCACCAGAATGGGGAAATGTCTTGCAATCTCATCACAAATTCTGATTGCAAATGGTCAATTATCCTTCATTTTCTTTCTCTATATTGTAGGTTACGCTGAGAAGAACGTTTGAGAAACTGGCAAACAAGATGGTAATTCCTAATGGAAATGAAGAAGAAAAAGGAAATCAAGAGAAGGAGAGCAAGGAGGAATCCATTCTTGCCCTGCTGGGGATTATTGGAACAATTCTAAACCTTATTGTAATCATTTTTGTGTACATCTATACAACATTGTGAGTTGCTGAGGCAAACTGCTGATGACATCTGAGAAGAGACCTTGGCAAACCACTTAATGAGAACTGACTCTTTAGTATATGAAATAGTAGCAAAAGGATTGCTTGCAGAGTGGAGGCTGAAGCATATTAACTGAGCCAGATTTTTGCTCCCTATAGTTACAAGGAAACTTTCTTTTTTCTCTTTCTCTACTTTCATTCATTCTAGAGAAATGTCTGCAAATATGTAAATATCTGATTTGGAAAACAGCATTTCAATTCAGCCAAAGACTGGACACTATCGTAATAGTGACAAATGTATAGCATTTCTATGCCAAAATGTGTACCACAGACAGCTAGATAGCTTTCTTTCAGGTTTCATTAAGTGATATCATCTCTTTGGGGTTCTAGTTAGGTTGTGGCAAGTGGGCTTGTATGGTGTAATCACAAATGAGAAACAGGGAAGGAAAGATGGATTCTGCTGAGTTACCTGAGCAAACAAAAGATAAAACTTTGAACAAAGTAAGTAGCATCACTTCTTTTTCATTTTCTCTTATTATCTTGACATCGGTATCCATTCATACCAATGTTTATACATATATATTTTTAATAAATGTGCTATATTTTTAGCATGAAGTAAACTCGTTGGCCATGCTTACATTATTTGATCAACCTAAATCTATCCCATGAAATAACTGCCATCCCTTCCACCACACATTTTTCAAAACTGCATGTGTAATGTCCTTTATCTAATATTAATGGAAGTCAAGGAGCGCAGTGAAAAGTTAACTTCATATTAATAGCACTCAATTGAGTAGCCATGAAGGCCTTGCAAAAGATATCCAGATATCATGGTGGGTCTATACCTACAAAGATCAGAACTGTGAAAGCAAAGATGTTCCCTGTGGCATTCTATGGAAGCAGAAGTTGGACTTTGGAGAAGCAGGATGAAAAGCATATTGACATTTTTGAACTTTGGCGTAGGAGAGGAGTCCTGACAATACCATGGATTTTGTACTAACCTATTTATGTTTTTATGTATGTTTTTAGTTTATATGGGTTTTTTTATTATTTTTCATGATTGTAAGCCATCCAGAGTTACCTTAAGGTAAAATGGGTGCTCTATAAATTTTATAAATAAATAAATGAAATGGTAGCCAAAGAAGCAAATGGATCATAGAACAAATCAGAATTCTCACTTGAGGCAAATGGCCACATTCAAATGATCATATTTTGGACCTGTTATGCAAAGCCCTAGTTCCCTTCAAATGGTCAGTTGAGTATTGAGAGATTGTTGAAGTTTAGTTCCCATCAACCTTCACCAGCATAACCAATGGTGAGAAATTAGGAAGGCATTTTGTCCAAACCTTTCAGTGGTTTTTATCTCCGAATCTTTTTTTCAATGCTATTGTTTCCAAATGATAATAGCTTTTCAGAGACTGAAAAGGATAAATTTCCTATCCTTTGCTATCTAAGTCTGTAAAATAGAACTTTTTGTTTGTCACAGTCAGTTTTAGACAGATTAAACCTATAGAACTAGACATTTGAAATAGCAAATTTAGATTACTGAGTTCTAACCGATGATGTCCACACAGTAGGGAAATCAGATAGGAAATATGTTAAATATGGAATTGTGCTCCAAGCAGAGGTGGTATTCAGCAGGTTCTGACCAGTTCTGGAGAACCAGTAGCGGAAATTTTGAGTAGTTCGGAGAACCAGTAAATACCACCTCTGACTGGCCCCTCCCTCATCTATTCTCTGCCTCCTGAGTCCCAGCTGATCGGAAGGAAATGGGGATTTTGCAGTAACCTTCCCCGGAGTGGGGAGGGAATGGAGATTTTACAGTATCCTTCCCCTGCCACGCTCACCAAGCCACTCCCGCCATGCCATGCCCACCAAGCCACACCCAGAGAACCGGTAGTAAAAAATTTTGAATCCCACCACTGGCTCCAAGCCTTGCTGCTTTTCTGGATGCTGAAAACCTGCTCATTCCAAAGGGGTTGGGTTTGGATCTGAACACCATGTCCTTCCCCTTGCCTATTTTGACCTCATCTTGAAAACACTATTGGTTCCATCACCTTGCTTATTCAAGCATCCCAGCAGATGGGTCTCTGTCCATTGCTTGAACAAATTTAATGAGCAAGAAAACACCATGTTCCTTATTTAATAGGCTCCACTGTCAAACATAATATTAAAAAGTTTGAATCTGCCTTCCTAACTGAAATCTATTATCCATCCTCTGCACTCAAAAATAGAGGACATGGTTTCCCTTTCATCTGTGGGGCATCATTTGAGCCTTTGAAAGAGGGCCATCATGTACTCCTCAGGTTTACCTTCTCGGGGTTAAGTATATCTAGCTCCTTCAATGTCTCTTCATAATAGTTTATAGTCCCCTGATTATTCTCACTACGGTTTACTGAACTTGTTCCAGTTTCTCTGAATCATTCTGCAAATGTGATGCCTAGAATAGGATGCAATAGTTTGAGGCTGACCAATGCAGAATGCAGTGAAATGATTACTTCCTTTGATCGTGAATCTATATTTTTGTTGATACTACCTAAATTACATTTGCTCTTTTTGCAACTACATAAGAGTTCTGATTCATATTTATATGCTGTCGATTTCTATCTTTTTCAGAAGCACTATTGCTAAACCAAGTATCCTCCACATTATTCCTGTTCATTTAATTGTTTTTTTTCCTAAGGGATGAACTTTGAATTTGTGTCTATTAAATTTCATCCTGTTATATTCAGAATATAACTTCACTCCATCAAGATCATTTTGAATTCAGTATATATCATAATCAGTTTTGTGTTATCTGCAAATCTGATAAGCATTTCCTTCATCACTCCATCCAAGTCTTTAATAAAAACACTGAAGAGTCAAACTCAACTTTGTGGCAGCCCATTCATTCAATTCTGTTCTTTAAATTGATAAGGAACCATTGAAATTATTGATTTGCCATGCCATTAACTTGCTAAAATCCTAGTCCTAGACCCATATATCCAGCATTTAATTAAGTTGCTAATCAAAATGGCATGGAGTACTCTTGCAAATGTTTTACTGAAATCAAGATATAGTGTATCTATGGCTTTCTCTTAATCCATTGAAGTAGTTACAAGACAAAAGAGATTGTCCAGTACTTTGAAATCATGATGATTTCTGATAACTACTCTACAGTTTTCAGGATAGTGTAATGGGGTGTTAGAATGACCTTGTGAGACAGAAGGTGGAATTGCAGACTAGACAATAGTCAGGCAAGAGATATTTCAGCCCAGAGAAAGAATGTGAGTGGAGAAAACATATTGGAAGGAACCCTCCCCAGCTAGGGGTGGGTTCTTACTTACCTTTACTACCGGTTCACAATGGGAGCGCGTGCGCATGCTCACTTCACTCACGCGCACTTCTCTGCATGCGCAGAAGCTTCTCCGCACGCGCAGATCATTAATTATGACGTTTGGGCAGGTGGGCAGAGCCTCCCGATGATTTTACTACCGGTTCTAAAGAACTGGACAGAACCGGGAGCAACCCACCACTGTCCCCAGCTCTCTGGAAAGTAAAGGCAAGGGAAGTTTATCTATGAGTATATATAGTAGGTTCCTTCCTCAGGTTTTTAAAAGAACCAATGTATCCTGTCTGTACTCATGTATAAGACTATCTGCAAATAAGTAAACCTTCAATTTTTTCCATATTTTAATTTTCATGATTTAACTGTGGGTGGCACATCTTTCATCTTTTAATTAAAAATTTGAGGGTCAGTTTATCAGCAGATGGAATTATACCTGAGTATATACAGTAATTTGAAATATATCTCCTGACCCTGATATTCTGGGCTTCTTGGTGATGCCCATGTATGCCAAAAATCTGTCCAAAGGAAAACAATCTTTAAGGCCCCAAAAGTCCATCATTCTAGTAGTATTTATTATATTAAAATAATGCAATATAATATATACTATTTTAAGTAAATTAAAAATTGTTAATAATTAATCATACTATTAAAGAGTCCACTAGAATTAGGTAGCCAATAAGCTTAAATGGGACTTTCAAATGCAAACAGACAGACACCTGGCCCACAATACACCTGACATCACTATTGTGGAAAAGAAAAAAGGCTGGCTCATTGATATTGCAATACCAATGCACAAATTGAGAAAGAGCTAGAAAAAATAACCAAATATTGTGATTTGCAAATTTGAGCGATTGTGATGGAAGAAAGCAATGGTTGTACCAATAGTAATAGGAGCCCTTGGAGCAATACCAAAAGGGCTGGCTAGATACATGGAAATTCTGAACTTATTAGACTTGAATATCTTTGCAAAAAACTCACCCTACTCAGAATTGCCTATATACCCAGAAGCTACCTTAACAGCTTTTAGGTCCTTAGCATTTAATCTGTTACATTTTTGCCAGTCCCAGACTGTGAATCAAATTGAAGATTAACCCTAATAATAATAGTAGTAGTAGCAGCTCACACCCTGAAATACCTTTAACACATCAAACAACAACATCTGCCTATCTTAGGTCCTTGAGAAGGACTTAATAGGTGGATAAAAATGCCAAAATCAGTCTAAACATCTGACTGACTGTGCAATAAATGATGATGATGATGATGATGATGATGATGATGATGATGATGATGACTGCCCAAGCTCTCCCAAGCTGGAGAGAAGAAAGGCATCAGATTTCCCCTTCCTTATGTTCTTCATTTAAGTTTCATAACCCCTCTCCAAGTCTTAGACCAAGGTGGCTAGGAATTCTGAGAGCTGAAATCTAACATTTCTGAAGAGAATCTAGATATGGAAGGCAGATTGAAGCATTACTTTCTATTAAATTTAAACAATCAGCAAATAGAAGATAAACTCATAGCACTTACCTCAAGTACAGCTGAGGCTGGGTTGCAAAAACCTTGGGGAGAAGAGTATTAAAATGTTCTAACACTTGCTGCCTTAATGAATTTACTAATAAATGAATACCAAAGATTCCTACTACAGTTTCCAAAATTCTGTACTCTATAATTTTTGCATTAAAACACCTCATCAAATTCTTGTATTATTTGCTTCTTAATCATGCCACACTGTGAAGGGCTTAACAGGTATTGTTGGGCCTGAAATAGGGCTATCATATGTACACTACAAAAATCCACAAACATAAAGAGTTGGCCCTGTGGTGTATCTACAGTATTTACTTTCCTCTCATGACTATCTTTAATTTGGGAGCCCTAAATGAAGCATAGAACAAGAGTGAATAGCTTCTACCAAGAAAGAACACATTTCAACTTTATTCCTTGTGTCAAGTAAATGCAAATGGAAAGATCCTCCTATTTCAGCTAATGGATGAGGTTCTAACATGTTCTTCTGTACATCACCCTTACTTCAACTCAAAAGTACAGAGTATTTTGAGAGTATTAATTTTCAAAGCAGAGCCTCTATGTTATTGTCATCCCACTGACCAGGTCACTGAGACAAGGTGACCTGGTCAGAATTAGGAACTTTTCACATGAAAAATAGAGAAAATCTATGAAAACATTGGAGGCTAATAATCTGCAGGGCTCTTACTGGCCTGCTAGAAGACTTTTCCTTTCCATTTGTTTACTAGGTTTTATTTTCTGTTTTGACTGAGGGACAATACATAACCTCTTTGAGCAACTATTTTCTTTGGTGATATTGCCATTGATATATTTTATTTTTGGAAAAATCATGCCTACAGTAAGCACTGTACACTATTCTGTAATCTGTCATAAATTTGCATCAAGCTAGGAATCATATTGCTTCACTGCCTTGGGAAACTACTTCGGCTTACAGGTGAGAATCTATAGCTGACTATACATCCTTGAAGGAGCAGTGATGACCTTATGGCAGAGATCAGTGACCAGATGGCAAATTCTGGTCAGCACAGCCTTTTAGATGAAGAAGTAGCTGCTCATGAGGAGACTGCAGGAACTGTGGTTTTTGCAGTTGACTTGTGAGTTGAGTGACTGAGAACTGAAGGATTTCAGTCAAGCTTACAGCTGTAATGCAACCTATATGAATACAAAGTTCACACAAGTGTCACTTTCTTCAATGCTTTTGAATGTAATTAAATTACAGCTAAAGAGAGATTTTCTGAGCAGAAGGATAAGAGACTTCCGCTTGGTAAGTGAAAGGAAAAAAGGTTTAAAGGTTTTGGCAAAAAGCTTAAGAAGGAGTAGATGGGAGAAGTTTAAAATGGATAATGGGGATAATTATTCTGAAACTTGGGGGGGGGGCAGAATGCTTTCCATTGGAATTAAAACAAAGAAATGAACCTGACCTTTGTGGGAATGTTTTCTGTTTACTATTAAAGAATGAAGACAATTGGTGGATTTTACAAAACAAAAGATAAAGTTAATGTGAGCCAGACTGTGATGCTGACTATAAGTACAGTGTACAGCCATTTGAGATGAAAGTGTTAAGGACACAAGAAGGACAAAATGGGGATGGGGAGAGACAAATTGATGATAAAGTGGAAATTTTGGAGAATAAGACAGAAGTTATAGACAGAGAGCTAGAAAGAGAAAGAGAAAATTTGCTATTACTGGAATTGAGAAAGAAGGATTTTTTATTTGAGATTTAGAACAATTCCAGAGGAGTCTGATGATGATATATAGAAACAGTTGTTAAAGTTTTGGCAAATTTTATGGATTGGGTTGAAAAGAATACAGAAGCAGAAATAAATAAGATATACAGACTAAATAGAAGATTTGCAAGAATAAGAAATGTTTTCTTTGATTTGATGGCTCTATATATCTATAAACCCAGTTTAGGGCTTATAGATATATAGAGATGGGTAAATGGAAATTCAAGAGAATACATCTACTTTTCTGAAAAGCACAAATCCTTTTCAAAAATAGACATGATGTGGAGTTTGAATAATTTGGTCAATGAGGTTTCTAAAATAGAGACATTACCAAAAATGTTTTCCGATCATAATTTTGTAAATTTGGTTTATAGAAGAAAATCCAGTTCTTTCAGAGACTAAATGAAATGTTGTTACAGAAAGAAGCAATAGTGAAGCGTGTAAAAAGAAATTAAAATACTTTTTGAAAATAATTTAAATAAAGTTATAATTTAAGAATGGTTTGGAACTCAAGTACAGCATTTATTAAAGTTACTTTATACAATATAAAAGTTAACTCAAAAAGAAGAGTCAAGAGAAGATGCTAAATATTTTGAATGAGACAAAGAGAAAAGATGAATTAAAGACATTTCCAGAGAAGACAAGTATTTCTCAATAAATTAAGCTTTTACAACAACACTTATCTATGCGACAGTAAGAAAAATGGAAATAAAAATGAATCACGTCAAGAAAAACACTTGGAATTTGCAAGCAAACCAGGGAAATGGTTGCCATATGAACTATGAAAAGAAATGAAAATGATATTAAAGCTACAGGAGGGAGATACTGTATTAATGGATGCAAAAAGCATTTTATCATTATTATTCTAACTGGTGTAAAGCAAGTGACATCTCTCTAGAAAAAAATAGATGCATATCTGAAGAAATACAATTTGCAAAGGATTACAGAGAAAGATTTTAAGTGGACCTATGACATTAAGAGACAATTCTGAAGATATAAAAAACATTAAACCAGGAGTGATGATCAGGTACTTATTTTAAATGTTTTGAAAATCGACTTTTACAACCTTTATAAAATGCAATGAATTCTAACCAACAGACAGGGAAGATGCCAGCGAGTTGGAAAGAGCCCAAAATAAAGCACTAAAACCTAAAGATGGACAAGATTTGACTGTAACAAGAAATTACAGGCTGATATCATTACTGAATTATATCTGTAAGTTATTTTACAATGATTCTGGCTGATAGACTGAAAATATTTATGTAGGAATTTATTGATGAAGATCCATCTGGG